CAAGTTCTATTTCTATGACAACGTCCGCATTGGACAGTTATGTTTCCTTCAAATGCTGATCTAAATCTCTTCTCAGTGGACCTTCCACAACTTCGATTTTGATTAGGTGCTAATATAACTATGTCCTGTAAATCTTTAGGCTCTATCTATTTGGTTGGATTTTCGACAAAAAATATTGTTTTTTAGTAAGTATTACTATATGTTTTTCTTGTATAACAGTATGAATAGTACTCATATGGATCATTCTTCATACTTGCAATCACATTCAAAGTGTATGGATATAGTAGTTGATAAACTTGAAGCATCCGATATGTGCATGTACGTTGTTCTATATCAATAATGAAAGATGAACTTTCGCTACTAACTACAAACATAACCTTATTAACATGAGAAACTTGCAATTAGTGATGCAAGTTATATGCACAACAAGTCACATAAATAAAGTGTAGGATATGAGCGAAACTACTTTTACATTGCACAAATATAAAATAAATATTACATACTATAGTTCATATATGAATTTGTTGTAAAAATAATTAAACGCAAGTCACATAGAAATTGATCAGGGTCACAAATTTGTTGTCACGGCTATTGTTTAGGACACAATCACAACTTTAAAACTACAGTTTCTCATGTCAACGATTTGACATAGATGTAACAAACCATGTAATCCGTGTCATACATGTGAACTTCAACATCTGTAAATAATAAGTGGGTCATAGAGGAGATTTTGAAGGTTACAGCAATTGACATTACCCTCAAATTTTTCATATTTTTCATTGTTTTCTCATTTGCTTCTCATACTTTCTTGACAATGTCATAAAAGTGTCTTGTGCGGTCTCCTTATATTTGCAAAACAAAGACTATATAATTTGTCGCAATAACTCCAACAAAGCTATAATAAGCTAGTTATCATAGATTTTTTGATCACATTAACTAACTTCACTATTTCGATGTCATTGTGTAATATCAGTTTGTGGACATGCGGAATCATGACCACTTTTAGGTCCAACACTATCCTACAAACAAAAAATGATGACTCATATCATATATTTTACAGTAGCGTAATAAATGTATGTATATGAATACAGATTGAAGATAATATGTAAGATATTATCGGGTAACCCCTTATCTTCTCATTAATTTCGTCGAGCTATTGCAAGTTATATTTGTATTCCGACAAGGTATAAGAGCGAACAACTAAATTGAATGTTTGCATTATGTAGTAACCTAAGTTCTCGTAACGTGATTTCATATTTTGTAATAGATGATATGAACAAATCTCATGACATGTTCCCGAATACACATTTTTAATTGTATTGTTGATATTGTTATGACAATCTGAATACAAAACACAACCTTTCTCTATCCCCATAGATTTTCTTCAATTTAAAAAAAAAAAAGAATAACTAGGAACTATCATTCTCATTATCCCCAATTTTGAAAGTAAGTATGAATATACTGTTATTTGCATATTGTGTAAAAGTCGTGAATAGAATCCCACTATAGTGTCCATTTAGATACGTGTCATCGACCAAAATTATAGGCCTACAATGTTCCCATCCCCAAATTGATGCATCTATTGCCTTGAATCAATATTTGAACCTACCCTAACCATCAAGCTCTAATCATGTGATCATCCTAGGATTTGTTTACTGCAACATGGAAAAGAATCTCGATATCTTACTAAATGAATTAGTTGGATCACCTTTAATCATTTTTAATGTTTTCTCTCGAGATCTCCAAGCCTTCACATAGTTCAATGATACTCCATACGATGCAGCATGTCATTACGTATATCATTTGGAGTGTATACAGTGCGTGACGATGTGTAGTTGTATTTGATGCAAGATGACACAACCTACTTTGTTACTTGCCTATAGGAACCTAATACAATGTTTGAAGCATGTGTGTGATCTTCTGCAATATGTCTAATTTTAAGCATCTTAGTTTTGGCCAACTTTGATGTTCTAAATATCCAATTACACTCATCATATGAACACTTGACATGATAGTCACTCTCTACATATCCAATTACACTCGTCATGTGAACAATTGAAATGATAGTCTTTCTTGTTTGATCGAAAAACCACATATTCAAACATATTTTAGATTGCATAAAAGGACAAACTCAGCTTAAAATTTCTTTGTTACAGAAAATCCTTTATTTCTCTAGATTACTAGCATCTGCGACTGACACAACCATGACCTCATCTTCAAAATTATCACCTAATGGTTTTACTATTGCTCTGCATAGGTCTGATGATATATTTAGAAATGAAAATTCTTGTTCATTGGATTGTACACCAATCAATACCATGATAAGCTATTTTTAGCTATCTACAGCTGTGACCTCAATATGTATTAGATATGTGGAAAATCACAATTCATATCCTTCAACACCATGTATGACAACTAGTTAGTTTCGCTCTTGATTATGATCGAAGGAAGATCACTATTCAATACATACTTTATTGTGACGGTTACCTTAGTGGGATCCAAACCAAACTCTATCATAACCGTATCCACAAGTTTCATATACCCGTAATTACGATCGATCAACACCAATGATAGTTGTGTGCCATTCAACAAACAAATTGTGAATGTATCCCATTTCTACAAAATCAATATAAGTAATCTCATTCACAAATCCAATTCTAGGTCACAAAAAATGCATGTCACAGTTTCTCAATCATGTTCACATGATAATTAGACTCAAGTCACATGTTCATACTAAATTACAAAACATGAACACTAATGATCACAGACCTTCTGCACATAACATTCTATTATATTGTATAGATAAATATCACATATATCAATTCAGGATCACATACGTCAGCATCAAGCCACGTATGTATACATCTTATAATGCACAATAATATCTAATTACATAGAATCCATCCAAATAATGAGCATATAAATACCATTTCAATTTTAAATTAATGTAGGGTAAATATTCTAAATACAAGCTATTTAATGAAATAAACTAGGTCACTGACTCTTGTTTATGGTCATAAAACAATCGCTATTAGTCACAGAAATTTTCATAAAGTTCACATACAAGTGACATACTTTACCTCATGAACATAGATAACGATACGAGATATGACATACATGTACTCATATGCCAGAATTTTTTAATGTGATCTATTACATGAATTAGATAATACAATAATATAAGTTGATCGAATATTTATTAAAATCGTGACTTCAATTTTATCAATCAACGCAATTTTAGAATCATAAATTGATTGATCATGATTAAATGGAGCAACAGACCACAAAATGCGATTCATTGAATTATAATCGATGAGAAACACAATAAGATGTCAAAATACAGACGAGATCTCAACTCTCTTTATATACTTTCCACGGATTAAAATATATTCTCCGGATGGAGGGTTGTTGGGACAAGGTCATAAGGATTTCCTTTTTCTTTGTTTTATTTATTTATCAAAATTAATGACATTTGATCACGTTACCTCTAAACCAGTACTCTTCATGCATTAATGGTTCTTCGATAACGATATATTGCATAATATCCATTCATGAGCAATAATCAGGATAAGAAAATTGAATGGTTGAAGATGACAATGTAAGAAACATAAGATGAAGATCAAGTTGTTACCAAACACTTAACTTTGAAAATAATGGTGTTATCAAATTTCTCTAAAAATTACGCGTCGTATCATTAAGATGTTAACCAAAAAAGTTCTACTAGCAAACAAATACAAAAAAGACGTGTTGAACATTCAATAATTAAAGTTCATTAAAGTTTCAAGAATTAAAAATTTTAGACGAGTTACACGTTATACAAAAACATTCTTTTAGAAGTTACACTCGAGGATCATGTTCAGCCGACATTTGGGTAGAAGTTTTGAGTTT